TCTTCTCTATGTCAACACGAAGGCAAAGTTATAACACCAGATGGGGATACCGAGCTATTTGATATCCTGGCAGGAGTTCTTCAAGGGGATACATTAGCACCATACTTGTTCATTATATAATCCTGTATCTGGTCAAAATCTGGCACAACTTAGCGAGTTAACTAGGTTTGAGATGTTATTTGTGCTCCCTAGGGTCTCTACTTCAAAAAAAATTTGGGTGGATAATTTTGTATGTGTGTTTAAACCCGTGACCACGCCCTTTTTAGAGCGTGGGAAAAATTTGACCAAAATGATTGAAATTTGCCTATATAATTTGATGAAGGTTTCTAAATGGCTTTTTATAATAATATCAGTATAACTAGAATATAAACATGGTAAAATAATATAAATTAAACACAAGTGACGCCTTAACCACGCCCATTTGCGCCCTTTTTGGCGCAAAATCTGAAATTTCAAATAGCATCATGTGGGGTATCGAACCTTAGGTTTATTGACACGAGAAAATGATTGATTATGATATTTTTTCGAATAGAACCTTCCCTGATTAGTTATAGGTATGGTTAACATCACTTATGTCTCATTTGAACCGAGTGCAGACGCAATTTAAGACGATAATAATGAAATATGGTGACGTCAATTTATATGCAGCAAGTAGATAAATTCCTTTTAATGTAGCCGATAAAACTTAAAACCTCCTGCGATTTGAAACCAAGTGAACAAGCAAACCAACTGATAAGTGATGTCCCATGACATTGAATTGTAATGCTATTAACGACTTAAAGCTGTTAAAATGCTGTTCACAGCTAAAACCCTCAAATCGATAAAATATTATATTTCAATTCTTTGCTGCAAATTTGTTCAGTTTTTTGCAAACTATTTAATTTTATGAGCTGCATTGGAGGTGGTGGTCATGATTCAGAGGCTGGAGGGTCAAAACCTTCCGGATCAATATCTCTTAAACTATCTAAAGAATCGGCCTACGATCCAGAAAAACACTGTATCTTTTGCTTAGACACCAGTCAACACTGTCCAGACTTAGTGGTAGTGACAATGGCAGGACCAAAGTATTGCAGGTAATCAAGTCATCACAATTATTACAACAATATTTCAACATTGCGTGGTATTGTTAACTTTTCATTATTTTCTTCACAATACCTCCTGAGGTATCACAGCATGGAATTTGCACTCGATTTATCCCATTTTGCTAGGCTGCCGAAACACGAGCGGATAGAAAAATATTAGGACGTATTGCATTGCTACCAAATGGATTCAAGTATCACGCGAAATTGAATCGGTGCTACAAGGACTATGTACACAAGAAAACTTTGGATGCATCAAAGAGAGAAAACGTGCACGGGAGGAAGATGGGAGCAAAGAAGTTAGTTAAATTTTCGATCCTTTGCCTAGAACACAACGTCTTATCTTTTTATATTTTAATACAGGGAATACAACGTCTAATAGCCCCGTCAAATTCTGCCCCATATTATGTTTGCTGACATATGAAACAATTTAAGAGTGAACAGTCGACTGAGACTAAGAGTAACCAGCACAACAGAACGGAATACGCGGAGCAAAACCCTTCCAATAGGCATACTCCAAGTATGAACATCCAATCTGTCATGAAAAGATCGCTTGTTGAAAACCTTATCTGATAATCAATCAAATAATTGATTAATAAGCTTGATTGTTTTTTAATTCTATCCTTACAATTCGTGTTTATGTTTTGATGTTAAATTTTTACTGTTCTTCAACATTTTATGATGCTGCACAAAATACATATTATGGAATACTAAATCTTTCACCAGTACCTAAGAAAAAACAATAGACCATCAAATGATTATTATAATATGCCTTTTTTCAGGTTCTGAGATGAAGACGAAAGGGGATGTTTTAAATTCTATCGGATGCTTCAGGTGTGACTCCGTAGAGGTTATAATAAATGGTAAAAGAATCAGAGAAAAGTACAGAATTTGTGAAGTGGACAGGGCAAAACAGGTACTGGTGGCTGTAAAACATCTCAAAGATGAAAGTGCAGCGGTGAGGCTAGCTGATATAGACTCAGTCGAACGTCTGATCGCACAGGATCTCTATTATCACAAAAACTGCTTGGCTTCACTTTTATCCCGCTATCAAAGATTGCTTTCGAAATGCCTTTTATGTTCGGAACCTGTTGATAAATCCCGTAATCTCTTGACCGTTGAACAGATTAAAGCACTAATTGCTAAAAGTGTTAATAACTACGACGATGAACTAATTAACAAAATTCGAGATAAATTTGACGAAGAGAGAGAGTGCGTGAAATCATATTGCTATGCTCACAAACATTGTGAAATCACTTACATCTCATCTGATTCTCCATCAACAACGAAAATATACGAAAATCAAGTAACTCCGATGATTGAAGAACTAATTGACAGAGAATATGGACTGCCAGTTTCAAGTATCCGGGATTTCCTGTCTGCAGAAACACCCAGACAGCAAGTTCTACAACCACAAGATTAAAAAATTTATTGTTGACAAATTTTGTGACCAAGTGTCATTCTGTAAACCCTACAGGAAAAGCGACTCGAAGTCGTGTTTTCCTCCTCAAAGATGCTGCCTCGATGATCCAAAAGCTGCAAGTCCTAAACGAAGTGAAATCTGCAGGAAGTATTTTACGAAGAAAGTTGAGAGGAATGACTTTTGGGCTTGAAGACAGATTTTGCGATGCTGTAGATTTGCAGACTGCTCTGAGGGAACAAGAATGCCGGAGTCCGTAATGGATTTTTGGGGGGTTTGCTTAATATCAGCAAGGCAACATTCCTCAAGTACCAGAAGAGTGTGGCAACAGATACAATATCAGAAACTGACGATGAAACAGAAGATGGAAACGAGGAAACTGGATCAGTTTTAACAAATAGTCCGAAAAAGATTCTCAAAGCAAACTCTCTCTTTCAGGTTATGCATCATATGGCAAATAATGGGACAATAAGAACACCTTTGCATATCATGCAAGCTCATGCAATTTACCACAAAAGTCACAGTAGGGAACTTATCACAGCATCCAACCACCTGGGATTCTGCATTAGCTATCCAGAACTTTTGAGGCTGAGAGCGCTGTTAGGGCTATTTATCATGACCAAGTACTTACTTATGAAAGTCTCGCTGCCGAGTAATTTCGATGAGAATCAGGAAACAAGTGTGGGGATAGATAATTTTGACCATAATGACCAATCATCGATAACTGAAAGAACGAAACCCACGACAGTGTCTTGGTCATGTATCAAAATGTACCGTTCAGTCAAAGAAACTACCGCCCTCCTACCAAAGGCAGAGTTTCCCACCTTACAGATTTTGTAGTATCAGGCAGGAAGTACATATCAAAGTTGCCGTTCCAGAAATTGCTGCCATTTTACCTCAGAAGCAAGGAGCAACCTTTACCATCAAACTTCAAATCAGAAAGATTTCAATACGAACCTGATGAGAGAAAAGAGAAGGTACTTAATCTTACAAGGAACATATCAACTCCACTCCCAGAAACTCAGCAACTCGCACATATACCAACTTGGGCCGGTTGTGAAGTCCTTACATCAACTATCAATGATGTACCGCTGAAAACGGTTGGATACCTTCCCATCTTTCCACACCCCATTACCAAAATAGAGACAGTGTACAGCCTTTTGCAGAACTGTGCTAGTATTGCAGCACTGTTGAAACAGAAAACACTGCCTGTTACATGCGATGAAGGAGTTTATCACCTAGTGACGAAGATTTATCTTCAACAACCTGACGTCTTTGAGCGAATATTTCCTCTCCTCGGCGGTTTTCATTTGACAAAGTCTGCATTACGCTGTGCTGGTAAGTTCGTTCGGGGCTCTGGGGTAGAAGATGCTTACATTGAGTGCAACATATTTGGACCGAAAACTGTCGAAGCAGTAATGAGTGGCTCACATTATTATCGTTCATTTGATGGTTTGATGATGTTAGGTGATGCACTTACCAAACTCAAAATGGAAGCTTTCTGGAAAGAGAATTCTATGAACAACTACTCAATAGCAATAAAGAAACTTGACCAGCTGCAATGTGCTCTTGTACAAAACAGTAAAACTGAATCGACGACTTTAATTTCTGAACTGCAAACATGTAAAGAGGTGAAACGACTAATGGACGATATTGAAGCGTTCTCAATCAAATGTAGTGAAAAATCATCACAATGTAGATTTTGGCTCAACTTTGTGAAAATCATAGACACGATTAAAGATTTTGTGCGTTCTGAGAGAGATGGAGACTTCTTCCTTAACATGAAAACTTTGGAACGCCTCCTTCCAATTTTTTTGGGCTGTGATGCTTTGAATTATTTACGCTACGGATCTTTTCATCTTGAGCTCCTAAAAAGGGCAAAGATAACTCACCCTGAACTTTATGATTCATTCATAAAAAGAAATTTCGTTGTTAAGAGAACACCTGGGTCTTTTAATGCGGTATCCCCTGACCTAGCTCTTGAGCAGACTATCAACAAGAGTGCCAAGAGTTCTCATGGGATAATTGGCAACACTAAATCAGCTGATTATGTTGCGGAGTGGTGCCTGATATACCACGAAGAGCTCGCAATAACAAACGCATATAGAGAGATAACGAACTCCAATCAGTTAGGCAACTCTGAAATGCAAGTTCATCATCATCTTCGTCCATCAAAAACTAAAGAGATTAATGGACATACTCAAAATCTTGCGGAATACATCAGCTTACAGGGTAATCCTTTCCTCCAAGGAAATCTTGGTCAAGTTAAAAACATTGTTACGCAAGTTTATGCAGATGAATATATCGCTGATCAACATTGCCAATTCTTCGAACAAGCGGAAGAAAAATATAATGAATTTCACAAGCTCGTTTATGTTGATAAGACCAGGCTCCTGTCAGATAAGATCACAAAGCACAATCTCTTACCCATTGATCACGTACCATCAGTTAAATTTGACGACAGTTCAAAAGCAGTCAAAAAGAATGAAAAGTCTTCAAGGATGGCAATTAAAACTTTGAACATAGCCAAAGAAAAGAAAGGTGATCTACATGAAGTATTACAGTACGATCTTACAAGGTATAGTCCTCTGTTTGATGGCCTGCTTATGGAGAAGCCCAGAAAACATGAAATGTGCGGAGAAGTTGAAAGCCGTGCAAAGCTAACAGAAGACGATTACAACTACCTTCCAGGTGAAAACAATGCTGTTGTTATTGACTTTATGTCTTACATCAGAGGCCAGAGTCTTGACAAGGCAGTTCAAGAGCCTTCCGCGCCACTTTGTTTTAATCTAACCTGGAAGCATGTCTCTTGGACATTCGGTTCCATGATTGCTGAAGCTTTTGCAAGAATTTTGAAGAACAACCCTACTGCCGAGTTGATTCATATCATATTTGATAGCTATCTTGACTTATCTCTAAAGAGTGGTGAACGACGAATAAGGCTTGCTGAGGCTAAGGGTGTGATCAGAGTTGCCATGATCAACGAAAACACAAAGGTACCAGAACAAATGGGGAAGTTTTGGCCACTAAGTGAGAACAAGGTAAAGTTTCAATGTTTTGCCAAGTCATATTTGCTTCATTTGGCCAAGAGAGTAAATAGACAATTGATAGTTAGCGGCACTGTAGATGGAGAAGATTCAATTCCAGCTCAACATCTGAACAGCGCTATGGATATTGCTGAAATATGCGAACTTCAACTACCATTTGAAGAGGCAGATATGAGGTTAATTCCACACATTCAATGGGATGTCATCAACTGTTCACGGTCTTCTGTCACTGTAATTTCTGATGATACTGATGTCTTGATACTTTTGCTGTTCTACTTCAAACATTTCAGTCGACAAGGACTACACAAACTGTATCTCCAGAAGGGCCGAGGGAGCAACAAAAAGATGTTTCCTATACATACAATGTATTTGAACCTGGGGGAACAATTCTGCAAGACTCTACTGAAGGCCCACTTGGGGACGGGGGCGGACTACCTAAGTAAGATAGGGACAAAGAAGAGCAGCCTTAATGCCAACCCTGAGGTTGCATTGAAAGAGTTTGGGGAGAAGTTTACCCTGGATGACGAGCAAATCCAAGAAGCTGAGCAGTACTTAGTGCAGGTTGCTGCAAGTTGTAGGAGCACGTGTCTAGCCAAAACCTTTGATGAGCTCAGGGTTCTTACATGGAAGAAGACCAGCTCAGTTCTGGAATTAGAACCTACTTCGCACTCTATCATAGAAGGACATATCAAACGATGGTGGTTTCTGTACAAGGTATGCAGTGATCTTTTAGCGATGGATTATACCCACCTGCAACCAAAAGATTTTGGTTGGGTAGATATCGAAGGCGAACTGTTCCCTTGCAAGAACTTAAACTTGCTACCTGACGACCTGTTTAAAACTTGCAAGTGCAAAACAGGTTGTCAAAAGAAAGTTTGTTCATGCTTCAAAGCAGAAGGACAATTGAAATGTACTGACTATTGTCTTTGTGTCAATTGTAAGAATAGATGAATTTAATTGAAAGTTTCCGATTTTTTTCTTGATTTAGACTTCTTTCTAATGATAATTTGCGTTATAATGCCGAGTCTTATTAGTTATTTGAACAGATTACTCACTTAAGAGAGCCTCTGGGGAGCAAAATTTCATTATTAATCATCTTCTCGAGTCAATAAACTTAAAGTTTGATACCCCACGTCATGATGCTACAACAAAATTTAAAATTTAAACATTTTGCGCCAAAAATGGCGTAAATGGGCGTGGTTAAGGCGTCACTTGAGTTTGATTTATATTATTTTACCATGTTTGTATTCTAGTTATACTGATATTATTATAAAAAGCCATTTAGAAACCTTCATCAAATTATATAGGCAAATTTCAATCATTTTGGTCAAATTTTTCCCACGCTCTAAAAAGGGCGTGGTCACGGGTTTAAACACACATAAAAAATTATCCACCCAAATTTTTTTTGAAGTAGAGACCCTAAGGAGCACAAATAACATCCCAAACCTCGTTAACTCGCTAAGTTGTGCCAGGTTTTGACCAGATACTCTATTAATAGCCCTTGACTATTGCATGAGACAAGCCTTAAGCAAGCATCCTGAAATAGGATTTACCATTAAGCCTTATCGGAGTAGGAGAGTCAAGGCGGAGAAGATAACAGACACTGGTTTTGCAGATGACATTGCTCTGATAGCAGATACTGTAAAGGAGGCAGAGATGCTGATGCTAGAGGTAGAAAGAGTTGCTGCTACAGTGGGACTTAAAATGAATGAAGGGAAAACCAAATTCATTTCTCAGAACATCGAGAACCCTGATACCATCAAGTCCCTGGGTAACAACTCAATAGAGCACGTGGAAGACTTTGCCTATCTTGGTTCTAGAATCAGAGACAGTGAGAGTGATATCAGGGTTAGGAAAGGAAGAGCATGGGGAGCATGCCACACTCTCAAAAAAACTTTGGAAATCTAACCTTAGAAAGTCTATCAAGACCAGAGTGTTCACAGCACTAGTCGAGTCGGTGCTTCTATACGGTTCTGAGACTTGGACTATGACGAAAAGGCTGGAGAAGATGGTTGATGGTTGCTATACACGAATGTTAAGAATGGCCCTTAACATCAATCAATATCGAGACCATGTCAGCAACCACAGTCTGTACGGTGATCTTCCTAAAGTCAGCTCCAAGATAACCCAACGAAGGCTCAGATTTGCAGGTCATGCTCACCGACATCCGGAGCTGACACTGAACAAACTGATCCTCTGGAAGCCGAGTCATGGGCATACTAACAGGGGGCGACCTTACCTAACACTACTAGATAACCTAAAAGCAGATACTGGGCTGAAATCAGTAGATGAGATAGCTAGACTGATGGAGGACAGAAAGCTGTGGAGAACTGTTGTCAATGGATCTCGGGAATACTACCCGCCTTAAGTCAAGTAAGTCAAGTAAGTCATATGTTAACTAATACTGATATCATCTAACGTTAAACTTATTAAGAAACTATTTAACAAATTAAGAAATTATCTTAAGATATTATGAAATTACTTAGACGGCAATATCAGTGACTAAGTAACGGCAAATTTAAGCTGTTCAAATGACAAAGGCTAGAACCGCACGCAACACCGAGACCTCGAGATGAGAATATAATTACACACACACTAATAACCGGGCTTTGTTTACATCATTCACATTCCAGAATAGAACAACAACAGAATAGTTCCTTCAACATTAGATCATTATATCGCATAACGAACGCGCTAAATCTCCCTAAGTTGGTGACTGTTCATATTATGTCAGCTCTCCTCCAAATATGTTATTATTATTATTATATTATAAAACAGGATCTTACCGTCAAAAATGATTCTTAAAAATACCTTAATGCGGTAAACTGTACCCTTGAAACAGATTTTCCCAACATCTGTTGCATGCAGCTATATCTCCAATTTTGTTCAAATCATGCAAGTTGTCCATTTGCAAATTTCTACTACTTATTTCACTTCTTAAAACAGATAAAAAGTTCATTCTAGGTCTCCCCAATCTTCCAATGAATAAATTATCTGATTCAATAGCAAAAGAGAAGGCCTTTGGGCTGGGGTGTTCTGCATACTCCTGAGAATGTGTCCAAACATCTTCCACCGCTGGTGTTCGATACGCTTGGATAACTTTTCGACTTTGCACCTTACATACAATGCTTTGTTGCTGATCATACCTTTAGGCCATTTGATGTTTAAAGTGGACCTGAGGTGTCTACGATGAAGTGTGTCCATTTTCTCCATGGTTGCTTTCTTAGGACTCCAACTATTTGAGTTATAAATCAATACAGATACAACTTGAGCATCATAAAACCTCAGCTTTCTTTCAAAGGAAATTTTCTTACCGGACAACCATACTTTTTCAAAGTTCTTAAAAGCAATCTCAGCTAGGATTCTCCTTCTTTGAATGTCCTTCTCAGTACACAGTAAGGAACCTAGTGACTTATTACTTCGCCATGGTTCGTTATTAGCTGATGGCTGTCCGTTTGTGTCTTTATCGGATTTTTTTCGCCAGGTAGAAGGTACTGAGTCCAGTTTTAAAATAACTTACTTGGAGGTTCCAGTCTTTGAGAATCTCCTCCAAATATGTACTTAGGTTAATTTAATACGCGTGGTGTGAATACTGTGCTCTGATTGGTTAATATAATACGCGTGACAATTTCGTCTTCAGACGAAAGTTGACAGCTTTTGAGTTGTAGAGTTGTTTGAAAAATTCCGGTCTTCGATAAATTGCGGCGACCTTGATCTGCTTTATAATATGTGTAATTGGATTTATTTTGCTCGAGATCAATGATCTAATGAACCGACAAAGTTTTCGGATATTATTTTGTAAAAATTTATAATTACGGTGCAAATTAGATTTAGCTACCAAGACACTATCACGATCTTATTACTCAAAATAAAATAGTAAGGAGGAGGAGGAGGAGGAGGAGGAGGAGGAGGAGGAGGAGGAGGAGGAGGAGGAGGAGGAGGAGGAGGAGGAGGAGGAGGAGGAGGAGGAGGAGGAGGAGGAGGAGGAGGAGGAGGAGGAGGAGGAGGAGGAGGAGGAGGAGGAGGAGGAGGAGGAGGAGGAGGAGGAGGAGGAGGAGGAGGAGGAGGAGGAGGAGGAGGAGGAGGAGGAGGAGGAGAGGAGGAGGAGGAGGAGGAGGAGGAGGAGGAGGAGGAGGAGGAGGAGGAGGAGGAGGAGGAGGAGGAGGAGGAGGAGGAGGAGGAGGAGGAGGAGGAGGAGGAGGAGGAGGAGGAGGAGGAGGAGGAGGAGGAGGAGGAGGAGGAGGAGGAGGAGGAGGAGGAGGAGGAGGAGGAGGAGGAGGAGGAGGAGGAGGAGGAGGAGGAGGAGGAGGAGGAGGAGGAGGAGGAGGAGGAGGAGGAGGAGGAGGAGGAGGAGGAGGAGGAGGAGGAGGAGGAGGAGGAGGAGGAGGAGGAGGAGGAGGAGGAGGAGGAGGAGGAGGAGGAGGAGGAGGAGGAGGAGGAGGAGGAGGAGGAGGAGGAGGAGGAGGAGGAGGAGGAGGAGGAGGAGGAGGAGGAGGAGGAGGAGGAGGAGGAGGATAACCTGATAACCAGTACGCGATGGCTCTAGAGGTTGCCGCTGGGGGGAGGTTGTATAACGTGGTGACAGACAACGAGGACACCAGTGCTCTGCTCATCAAACACGGCCAACTCCGCAGAAGGTACGTCATGATATTGTAACTAGTAGTGTAAAGTTATGGTAACTAGTAGTGTAACTATGGTAACTAGTAGTGTAACTATAGTAACTAGTAGTGTAACTATGGTAACCCCGCAGGTACGTCATGATACCCCTCAACAAGATCCGCAGCAATGTTATAGACAGGGAGGTGGTTAACAGTGCCAAGAGACTGGTCGGTGGGGACAACTGTCACCTAGCTCTGGACGTCATCCAATTTGATAAACAGGTGGAACCGGCCATGAAGTTCTGTTTTGGAGGGGTTCTCATCTGTAAAACTAAGGAGCAAGCTAAGAAAGTAGCATTCGACAAGTCAGTGAAGAGGAAGGTTATTACTCTGGAGGGAGATGTATACGATCCGGCAGGTACTCTAACGGGAGGGTCCAGGAACACTTCTAGATGTGTTCTTAAAGAACTCTCTGCCTGCAAACAGTCCAGATCTGATCTCACTCAGTACAAAGAGCAGTACAGACAGGTAGAGGGAGAGTTGAGTAAAATGGAAAGAGTTGTCCACGAGTGGGAGGAACTGACAGGTCAGCTGAGGCTGAAGAAGCACGAGCGTGATTTATTAGAAGAAAGATTGAAGCAGACCTCTCATTACAAGGACATAGAGGAGTTGAGGAGGACTAAGGAGGAACTGGCAAAGCAAAAGGAAATTGTGGATAATTTTAACGACAAAGAAAAGAGTCTCTTAAAGAAGTGCGCGGAAGTGGAAGCTAAGATGAAGAACTTCAAATCTGAACAAGAGAAAGAACTGAAGAAGTCGGAGAAGAGGATATTAGACGCAAAGAGTAAATTGAGCAAGTGTTCGAAGGAGGCGAAAGCAAAGGTGAACAAGTTGAAAGAACTAGAGTTGGAGGTGAGCAGTGAGCTAGCTAAGGAGTTGGAGGGTCTGCGAGAGCAGCTGCCTAAGTGCGAGGAGGCTATAGCTGCTGCTCAGGAGCTTGTGGAGGGAGCCCAGTTAAAGCTGACTGAGTGCGCGGCGGTGAGGGAGGCACTGGCTGCTGAACTTGGGGCTCAGCGTGAACTGATACAACAGTGTTCTGCTGAGATAGAGAACTTTGTGAAGGAGCAGAAAGCAGCGGAGAAGCTGATAAGTAGCTGCGGGATAAAGCTGAAGGAGCTGACTCACAAGCTGAGTAAACTGAACAAGGAAGCGAGCGAAGCAAAGCAGCAGGTCCAGTATTACCTCAACAACTATGAGTGGATTGCTTCTGAAAAACAGTACTTCGGACAGAGGGACACTGCCTACGACTTTGAGAAACAGGACCTGAAAGAAAGTGATAAGAAGTTGGAGCGTCTGAAGGCAAGTAAAGAGAAACTGTCCAAGAATGTGAACATGAGAGCAATGCACCTGCTAGTAGAGTAACTATGGTAACTAGTAGTGTAACAATGGTAACTAGTAGTGTAACTATGGTAACTAGTAGTGTAACTATGGTAACTAGTAGTGTAACTATGGTAACTAACATGAGAGCAATGCACCTGCTAGTAGTGTAACTATGGTAACTAGTAGTGTAACTATGGTAACTAGTAGTGTAACTATGGTAACTAGTAGTGTAACTATGGTAACTAGTAGTGTAACTATGGTAACTAGTAGTGTAACTATGGTAACTAACATGAGAGCAATGCACCTGCTAGGAGAACTAGTAGTGTAACTATGGTAACTAGTAGTGTAACTATGGTAACTAGTAGTGTAACTATGGTAACTAGTAGTGTAACTATGGTAACTAGTAGTGTAACTATGGTAACTAACATGAGAGCAATGCACCTGCTAGGAGAACTAGTAGTGTAACTATGGTAACTAGTAGTGTAACCATGGTAACTAGTAGTGTAACTATGGTAACTAGTAATGTAACTATGGTAACTAGTAGTGTAACTATGGTAACTAGTAGTGTAACTATGGTAACTAGTAGTGTAACTATGGTAACTAGTAGTGTAACTATGGTAACTAGTAGTGTAACTATGGTAACTAACATGAGAGCAATGCACCTGCTAGGAGAGTAGTGTAACTATGGTAACTTGAAGTGTAACTATGGTAACTAGTAGTGTAACTATGGTAACTAGTAGTGTAACTATGGTAACTAGTAGTGTAACTATGGTAACTAGTAGTGTAACTATGGTAACTAGTAGTGTAACCATGGTAACTAGTAGTGTAACTATGGTAACTAGTAGTGTAACTATGGTAACTAGTAGTGTAACTATGGTAACTAGTAGTGTAACCATGGTAACTAGTAGTGTAACTATGGTAACTAGTAGTGTAACTATGGTAACTAGTAGTGTAACTATGGTAACTAACATGAGAGCAATGCACCTGCTAGGAGAACTAGTAGTGTAACCATGGTAACTAGTAGTGTAACTATGGTAACTAGTAGTGTAACTATGGTAACTAGTAGTGTAACTATGGTAACTAGTAGTGTTACTATGGTAACTAGTAGTGTTACTATGGTAACTAGTAGTGTAACTATGGTAACTAGTAGTGTAACTATGGTAACTAGTAGTGTAACTATGGTAACTAACATGAGAGCAATGCACCTGCTAGGAGAACTAGTAGTGTAACTATAGTAACTAGTAGTGTAACTATGGTAACTAGTAGTGTAACTATGGTAACTAATGGTGTAACCATGGTAACTAACAATGCACCTGCTAGGAGAACTAGTAGTGTAACTATGGTAACTAGTAGTGTAACTATGGTAACTAATGGTGTAACTATGGTAACTAGTAGTGTAACTATGGTAACTAGTAGTGTAACTATGGTAACTAATGGTGTAACCATGGTAACTAACAATGCACCTGCTAGGAGAACTAGTAGTGTAACTATGGTAACTAGTAGTGTAACTATGGTAACTAGTAGTGTAACTATGGTAACTAGTAGTGTAACTATGGTAACTAGTAGTGTAACCATGGTAACTAGTAGTGTAACTATGGTAACTAGTAGTGTAACCATGGTAACTAACATGGTAACAATGCACCTGCTAGGAGAACTAGTAGTGTAACTATAGTAACTAGTAGTGTAACTATGGTAACTAGTAGTGTAACTATGGTAACTAATGGTGTAACCATGGTAACTAACAATGCACCTGCTAGGAGAACTAGTAGTGTAACTATGGTAACTAGTAGTGTAACTATGGTAACTAACATGAGAGCAATGCACCTGCTAGGAGAACTAGTAGTGTAACTATAGTAACTAGTAGTGTAACTATGGTAACTAGTAGTGTAACTATGGTAACTAATGGTGTAACCATGGTAACTAACAATGCACCTGCTAGGAGAACTAGTAGTGTAACTATGGTAACTAGTAGTGTAACTATGGTAACTAATGGTGTAACTATGGTAACTAGTAGTGTAACTATGGTAACTAGTAGTGTAACTATGGTAACTAATGGTGTAACCATGGTAACTAACAATGCACCTGCTAGGAGAACTAGTAGTGTAACTATGGTAACTAGTAGTGTAACTATGGTAACTAGTAGTGTAACTATGGTAACTAGTAGTGTAACTATGGTAACTAGTAGTGTAACCATGGTAACTAGTAGTGTAACTATGGTAACTAGTAGTGTAACTATGGTAACTAATGGTGTAACCATGGTAACTAACAATGCACCTGCTAGGAGAACTAGTAGTGTAACTATGGTAACTAGTAGTGTAACTATGGTAACTAGTAGTGTAACTATGGTAACTAGTAGTGTAACTATGGTAACTAGTAGTGTAACCATGGTAACTAGTAGTGTAACTATGGTAACTAGTAGTGTAACCATGGTAACTAACATGAGAGCAATGCACCTGCTAGGGGAGGCGGAGAAACGGTACATCGACCTGGTGAAAAGGAAGGACATTGTGACTAACGACAAGCACAAGATAAACAAGGTGATCAAGGAGCTGGACGAGAAGAAGAACAGAGCAGTCAGGAGAGCCTGGGAGCAGGTGAACAAGGATTTCGGCTCTATATTCTCTACGCTGCTTCCTGGAGCGAGGGTTAAACTGCAGACTTTGGAGGGGAGACCTGTTACTGATGGTTTAGAAGTCAAGGTAAGTGCTAATGTTTATATCTTTGGAGGGGAGACCTGTTACTGATGGTTTAGAAGTCAAGGTAAGTGCTAATGTTTATATCTTTGGAGGGGAGACCTGTTACTGATGGTTTAGAAGTCAAGGTAAGTGCTAATGTTTATATCTTTGGAGGGGAGACCTGTTACTGATGGTTTAGAAGTCAAGGTAAGTGCTAATGTTTATATCTTTGGAGGGGAGACCTGTTACTGATGGTTTAGAAGTCAAGGTAAGTGCTAATGTTTATATCTTTGGAGGGGGGACCTGTTACTGATGGTTTAGAAGTCAAGGTAAGTGCTAATGTTTATATCTTTGGAGGGGAGACCTGTTACTGATGGTTTAGAAGTCAAGGTAAGTGCTAATGTTTATATCTTTGGAGGGGAGACCTGTTACTGATGGTTTAGAAGTCAAGGTAAGTGCTAATGTTTATATCTTTGGAGGGGAGACCTGTTACTGATGGTTTAGAAGTCAAGGTAAGTGCTAATGTTTATATCTTTGGAGGGGAGACCTGTTACTGATGGTTTAGAAGTCAAGGTAAGTGCTAATGTTTATATCTTTGGAGGGGAGACCTGTTACTGATGGTTTAGAAGTCAAGGTAAGTGCTAATGTTTATATCTTTGGAGGGGAGACCTGTTACTGATGGTTTAGAAGTCAAGGTAAGTGCTAATGTTTATATCTTTGGAGGGGAGACCTGTTACTGATGGTTTAGAAGTCAAGGTAAGTGCTAATGTTTATATCTTTGGAGGGGAGACCTGTTACTGATGGTTTAGAAGTCAAGGTAAGTGCTAATGTTTATATCTTTGGAGGGGGGACCTGTTACTGATGGTTTAGAAGTCAAGGTAAGTGCTAATGTTTATATCTTTGGAGGGGAGACCTGTTACTGATGGTTTAGAAGTCAAGGTAAGTGCTAATGTTTATATCTTTGGAGGGGAGACCTGTTACTGATGGTTTAGAAGTCAAGGTAAGTGCTAATGTTTATATCTTTGGAGGGGAGACCTGTTACTGATGGTTTAGAAGTCAAGGTAAGTGCTAATGTTTATATCTTTGGAGGGGGACCTGTTACTGATGGTTTAGAAGTCAAGGTAAGTGCTAATGTTTATATCTTTGGAGGGGAGACCTGTTACTGATGGTTTAGAAGTCAAGGTAAGTGCTAATGTTTATATCTTTGGAGGGGAGACCTGTTACTGATGGTTTAGAAGTCAAGGTAAGTGCTAATGTTTATATCTTTGGAGGGGAGACCTGTTACTGATGGTTTAGAAGTCAAGGTAAGTGCTAATGTTTATATCTTTGGAGGGGAGACCTGTTACTGATGGTTTAGAAGTCAAGGTAAGTGCTAATGTTTATATCTTTGGAGGGGGACCTGTTACTGATGGTTTAGAAGTCAAGGTAAGTGCTAATGTTTATATCTTTGGAGGGGGGACCTGTTACTGATGGTTTAGAAGTCAAGGTAAGTGCTAATGTTTATATCTTTGGAGGGGAGACCTGTTACTGATGGTTTAGAAGTCAAGGTAAGTGCTAATGTTTATATCTTTGGAGGGGAGACCTGTTACTGATGGTTTAGAAGTCAAGGTAAGTGCTAATGTTTATATCTTTGGAGGGGAGTCCTGTTACTGATGGTTTAGAAGTCAAGGTAAGTGCTAATGTTTATATCTTTGGAGGGGAGACCTGTTACTGATGGTCAAGAAGTCAAGGTAAGTGCTAATGTTCATATCTTTGGAGGGGAGACCTGTTACTGATGGTTTAGAAGTCAAGGTAAGTGCTAATGTTTATATCTTTGGAGGGGAGACCTGTTACTGATGGTTTAGAAGTCAAGGTAAGTGCTAATGTTTATATCTTTGGAGGGGAGACCTGTTACTGTTGGTTTAGAAGTCAAGGTAAGTGCTAATGTTTATATCTTTGGAGGGGAGACCTGTTACTGATGGTTTAGAAGTCAAGGTAAGGGCTAATGTTTATATCTTTGGAGGGGAGACCTGTTACTGATGGTTTAGAAGTCAAGGTAAGTGCTCATGTTTATTTCTTTGGAGGGAGACTTGTTACTGATGGTTTAGAAGTCAAGGTAAGTGCTAATGTTTATATCTTTGGAGGGGAGACCTGTTACTGATGGTTTAGAAGTCAAGGTAAGTGCTCATGTTTATATCTTTATATAGGTTATTATTGTTGCTAAGTAAACATATCTTACTTTGTAAACCTATACTACCTTACTTTAAAAGTTTACAATTGCAGGTTGGGTTCGGTGAGGTATGGAAAGAGTCACTAACCGAACTGAGCGGTGGACAGAGATCTTTAGTGGCCCTCTCTCTTATCTTATCTCTTCTTCTCTTCAAACCCGCTCCTCTATACATTCTAGACGAGGTAATTATACTAATTATACTAATTATACTAATTATACTAATTATACTTATTATACTTATTATACTAATTATACTAATTATACTAATTATACTTATTATACTAATTATACTAATTATACTTATTATACTAATTATACTTATTATACTAATTATACTAATTATACTTATTATACTAATTATACTAATTATATTAATTATACTAATTATATTAATTATACTAATTATATTAATTATACTAATTATATTAATTATACTAATTATATTAATTATACTAATTATATTAATTATACTAATTATATTAATTATACTAATTATACTTATTATACTAATTATACTAATTATACCCAATTATACTAATTATACTTGTTATACTAATTATACTAATTATACTAATTATACTCCTCTGTTAGGGAATACTGACACGTGTTTCTCTCCAGGTGGACGCAGCGCTAGACTTGTCCCACACTCAGAACATCGGACAGATGTTGAGGGCTCACTTCAAACATTCTCAATTCGTCGTGGTCTCCCTCAAAGATGGCATGTTCCAGAATGCTAACGTTCTCTTCAGGTAAATTGAATTTTTTTTTGTGAATACTGTGCTCTGATTGGTTAGTTTGTGTCACGTGGTGTGAGTACTGGGCTCTGATTGGTTAGTTTATGTCACGTGGTGTGAATACTGTGCTCTGATTGGTTGGTTTGTGTCACATGGTGTGAGTACTGTGCTCTGATTGGTTACTTTGTGTCACGTGGTGTGAATACGGTGCTCTGATTGGTTACTTTGTGTCACGTGGTGTGAGTACTGTGCTCTGATTGGTTAGTTTGTGTCGCGTGGTGTGAGTACTGTGCTCTGATTGGTTAGTTTGTGTCACGTGGTGTGAGTACTGTGCTCTGATTGGTTGGTTTGTGTCACGTGGTGTGAGTACTGTGTTCTGATTGGTTAGTTTGTGTCACGTGGTGTGAATACTGTGCTCTGATTGGTTACTTTGTGTCACGTGGTGTGAGTACTGTGCTCTGGTTGGTTAGTTTGTGTCACGTGGTGTGAGTACTGTGTTCTGATTGGTTAGTTTGTGTCACGTGGTGTGAGTACTGTGCTCTGATTGGTTCGTTTGTGTCACGTGGTGTGAGTACTGTACTCTGATTGGTTAGTTTGTGTCACATGGTGAGAGTACTGTGCTCTGATTGGTTAGTTTGTGTCACATGGTGAGAGTACTGTGCTCTGATTGATTACTTTGTGTCACGTGGTGTGAGTACTGTGCTCGGATTGGTTACTTTGTGTCACGTGGTGTGAGTACTGTGCTCTGATTGGTTACTTTGTGTCACGTGGTGTGAGTACTGTGCTCTGATTGGTTAGTTTGTGTCACGTGGTGTGAGTACTGTGCTCTGTTTGGTTAGTTTATGTCACGTGGTGTGAGTACTGTGCTCTGATTGGTTAGTTTGTGTCACGTGGTGTGAGTACTGTGCTCTGATTGGTTCGTTTGTGTCACGTGGTGTGAGTACTGTACTCTGATTGGTTAGTTTGTGTCACGTGGTGTGAGTACTGTGCTCTGATTGGTTACTTTGTGTCACGTGGTGTGAATACTGTGCTCTGATTGGTTACTTTGTGTCACGTGGTGTGAGTACTGTGCTCTGATTGGTTAGTTTGTGTCACGTGGTGTGAGTACTGTGCTCTGATTGGTTAGTTTATGTCACGTGGTGTTAATACTGTGCTCTGATTGGTTACTTTGTGTCACGTGGTGTGAATACGGTGCTCTGATTGGTTACTTTGTGTCACGTGGTGTGAGTACTGTGCTCTGATTGGTTAGTTTGTGTCGCGTGGTGTGAGTACTGTGCTCTGATTGGTTAGTTTGTGTCACGTGGTGTGAGTACTGTGCTCTGATTGGTTCGTTTGTGTCACGTGGTGTGAGTACTGTGCTCTGGTTGGCTAGTTTGTGTCACGTGGTGTGAGTACTGTGCTCTGATTGGTTAGTTTGTGTCGCGTGGTGTGAATACTGTGCTCTGGTTGGTTAGTTTGTGTCACGTGGTGTGAGTACTGTGCTCTGATTGGTTAGTTTGTGTCACGTGGTGTGAGTATTGTGCTCTGATTGGTTCGTTTGTGTCACGTGGTGTGAGTACTGTGCTCTGATTGGTTAGTTTGTGTCACATGGTGAGAGTACTGTGCTCTGATTGGTTAGTTTGTGTCACATGGTGAGAGTACTGTGCTCTGATTGGTTACTTTGTGTCACATGGTGTGAGTACTGTGCTCGGATTGGTTACTTTGTGTCACGTGGTGTGAGTACTGTGCTCTGATTGGTTACTTTGTGTCACGTGGTGTGAGTACTGTGCTCTGATTGGTTAGTTTGTGTCACGTGGTGTGAGTACTGTGCTCTGTTTGGTTAGTTTGTGTCACATGGTGAGAGTACTGTGCTCTGATTGGTTAGTTTGTGTCACATGATGTGAGTACTGTGCTCTGATTGGTTACTTTGTGTCACATGATGTGAGTACTGTGCTCTGATTGGTTTGTTTGTGTCACGTGGTGTGAATACAGTGCTCTGATTGGTTGGTTTGTGTCACGTGGTGTGAATACAGTGCTCTGATTGGTTATAATAAGACACTCATCCTATCAGGACGAAGTTTGTTGACGGAGTATCAGCTGTTACACGACACACTCAACATTCCTCCACAAAACCTGCTCCTTCTGAGAAAGAGAATATTCAGCCACTCGTTAAGAAAAATAAAAAACAAAAGGTTTAGTTACCATGGTGACTGATGTGAAACCTACTTACTTGATGAGGATGTAAAACTTACTTTTTAAACAGTTGCTATTCAAGAAGCTTCTTTTAAGTTTAAATTAAGCAAATTGTCAAGTTGAGAACTAAGGTGGTGTTACCATGGTTACGGATTATTAAAACTGCGTATCAAGTTCAGTGCGCGGCTTAATGACTATAAGTGTGTACATGACTAGGGAGCACTGAGTTGCTAACTTTATCTTGTTTAATATTATTGCACACTTTGCAAAGCAGCATTACATTTTAACCTTATGTATTGAGTGCTCGTAATATAAAGTAAAAGTAATATATACTGGTATTCATTATTTGTTATAGTTAATTGTCCTCACGTGGCATTAATCTACGTGTGTCTTATATTTTATATAAAATTAATACTTTTAATCGGTCAAAGCTTAGATTCAAAGCTTTTTTCTTTGTAAATTTTAAACGATCCAGTTTTTAAGTCACGATTTTTTAAATTACTTGTTCTTTATTATAGTTATCCTACGTTTCCCCTAGTTGATGGCAATGCCGTTGACTTTAATAAAAAATGTGCTAATAAAAACAATCATCAGTATTTCTCAGTTTATTATGAGATATGAACGTTTGAAATTATGTACTGACGTTGATAAGTTTGTGTCACGTGGTGTGAATACTGTGCTCTGATTGGTTAATATCTCAAATCTTTAGAGCAGCATTTTAAATCCTGCACCTTTTGTTTGCATCTTTAAGTCCTTATTTTTAGTCGCAATGTATTCTGCTTTACTTTGACTGTATTTATATTTATAGTGTTGTATTTCAGTTACATTTCATTGGAATCTACCGAAACATTACAATTATTTTACTTTTCTTTGTTCATTAAGTAGAAATGTAAGCGAACAATACAGCAATAGTGAATAGCACTATTCAACGAAACATTTGTAAGTTTCAGCCCCACCTAGCTTTAAGACTGTTATTTGAGCAACATGTTCGCTCGTATCTCCGCTATATCTCCAGTGGATATTAGTGCAGTGGAGATTATTATTATCTACAGAAAGCACATCCAAATAAACAGTATGGAATATGTAATTTATTTCAAACAAATATTGGAAGCAGATCATAGTGATATACAAATTTAAACTATAAATTTAAATAAGAACAAGAATTTCGCCGCGGTAAAACCACGCACGATCAAATTTCCCCTTCTGCCTACAATGTAATTGTTCTACTTTATTGTATCCCAGAGTGGTGTTTGGCGCACATGTAACATGATAATCGTTTTCGATATATTTGGCGTGCCACGTGCAGAACTTGAAAATTCTGCGCGCATTTTTGTAGTGTCGCGTTGATCTGTGTACGTGTGGTTTGGTTGTAGATCATTTCATATTTTGCGCGGTTTGTTTCGTGTTAACGATGTGTATTATGTCACGTCATATTATTGCATCGTCGTATGCCAACTTTTTTGACTGGAATAGAATATTCTGTCTCATCTTAGTTATTAGAAGTATCTAACATAAACTAATACATTTTGATGCTTACTCGACACATCTACAGCACCATCGACTATATAGGAATTTTTAAAAGCATACCGCAATCTTGATCTTAGTTGCTTCTTGAATGTAAATGTAAAGTAACATCTGTTCTTAAATATGTAAATGTAATCGCTTTTTACCATTCAGTGTCAATCAACTGTTAAATAATCGGCCACGAGTTTATCAGCTGATGTAATAATTTAGTTTGTTCTGAATTTTATCACTCGGTAATTTATTAAAAAACTAGCGGCAATAGCGGATGAATAGTGGAACCTAGCGGATGCCTAGCGGAGAGCTAGCGGAAATTTAACAGTCGTCAAGCACCTAAAACTGGTTGCTATGCCTGCAATTAATTAACACATAACTGGCGTCGCGCGCGCAAAATAGGTTCCTTTTATACACATAATTATATGGGAGTGGTCGATATTGCGAAGGAGCAGACTTTTGTCATCATCGTAGGACCGTCGAGCCACCTCATATATCCAAACCCGATTACTTATTCCCTACGATCTTTTTGCCTTCGGCAAGAGCAGGGAAAAAAATTGTAATTTTCATAAATAAACCGATTAAAAAATGTAATCGTATTCAAAATATTCAATCGCATTCAAAACATTTAATCGCATTCAAAGTATTCAATCGCATTCAAAATATTAAATCGTATTCAAAGTATTCAATCGCATTCAAAATATTTAATCGTATTCAAAATATTTAATCGTATTCAAAATATTTAATCGTATTCAAAGTATTCAATCGCATTCAAAATATTTAATCGTATTCAAAATATTTATTCGAATTCAAAATATTTAACCGTATTCAAAATATTTAATCGCATTCAAAATATTTAATCGCATTCAAAATATAAATATCTAATCGCATTCAAAATATTTATTCGTATTCAAAATATTTAATCATATTCAAAATATTCAATCGCATTCAAAACATTTAATCGCATTCAAAGTATTCAATCGCATTCAAAATATTAAATCGTATTCAAAGTATTCAATCGCATTCAAAATATTAAATCGTATTCAAAGTATTCAATCGCATTCAAAATATTTAATCGTATTCAAAATATTTAATCGTATTCAAAATATTTAATCGTATTCAAAGTATTCAATCGCATTCAAAATATTTAATCGTATTCAAAATATTTATTCGAATTCAAAATATTTAACCGTATTCAAAATATTTAATCGCATTCAAAATATTTAATCGCATTCAAAATATAAATATCTAATCGCATTCAAAATATTTATTCGTATTCAAAATATTTAATCGTATTCAAAATATTTAATTGCATTCAAAATATTTAATCGTATTCAAAATATTTATTCGAATTCAAAATATTTAACCGTATTCAAAATATTTAATCGCATTCAAAATATTTAATCGCATTCAAAATATTAAATCTTAATCAAGATATTTAATCGTATTCAAGATATAATAAAATATAATAAGTCACTGAAATATCAAGCACTCTGGAAGTGTTCGGATAATCGTATTTGAATATTGTTCATGTTTCCCGTTATACTGACAAGGTTCTACTTCCCGCTGAGAGCTGCGCGTAGAAATAAGATTATTGAGCGATAATTGCGCTGGTGCTACATTTTATACCATTGGATAGCAAAAATGCTCAATCGAATGTCGCCCTTCTCAAAAAACTCAGCACAGGTTCTCATAAAAAGTTATGAACATTTATATGGTCAAAATAAATTCTTACGCCGCGCGCCGAACAAAATGAATTCATAATAGAATAACTTGCGCGTCACTACACGTATCTATGGATACGCGTCGCTTCACGTATCTATGGACACGATGACTATATATAGGCATGAGCGGACGGCTCATTTTTCATATCATTACAGTCGCGCGTGTGCTAAATACAGCAGTCCTGCGAGTTATGTTGTTAAAATCTCGCCTCGTCAAATTGAAAGAACTTTACTTGCTTTAGGAGCTAAACATGGCCCAACCATGAACCAGCGAATGCAATGTGCCACGATGCAAATGTTGTGAACTTAAAGCTTCTCTTGGAGAGTGGAAACTTCTACTGCTTATAGAGTTACAACATCATTTATTTGTTATTTCCCAATGTAGTGTCTGTGGAAAGGCTTACGTCGGTCGCACTACTCGCTCTTTACGGGTTATATTATACGGGCCGGTTATATTATATATTAGGACTGGAGAACATAGGGTCAAATATTATAAACTTTTAAATGGCGATAAATAAGTGATGAATATAGTTTTTGCTTACATTTATTGGATCGTGGTTATACTTATATACTAATAGACTAATAGACAAAGGGAACATTTCTATCAGCCGAATACTCGGGAAATCGGAAGTGAGGGTTAAATGAGGAGCTGCACATTGCAGCAGTCTCGGGCGAAGTACGGTACACACTACTTTAAGTTTAACCGTCACTGGCCAAAATTAATCCTTCGGCTACCTGCAATTGGCTGGTTGCACGTGTGTAACAATGTGGCTGTTGGAATACTCCGAAGTAATGTCGTTAAATTTACTGGAGAATCAATGATGAGGTCTGAGGACATCGTGTGTATTGGGGTACAGGGCCGGTAGAATGCGTTAATTTAGGGTAGCATGCGTTAATTTACTGACTCTGACACTACAACATTGGAATCCTTTATCGATTACAAGCACAGCTCGTAATCAATAAATGTAGTGGTTGTCGGCTGAACAGATTGCCGATGCAACCGCTACAAATTAGCTTTATAAGTCTTCAGTCATATTGATTTCTTCAAATCAGAGCTGCATTTTACACCCTCCTGTCTGGTGGCAGTGCAACTGTTAGTTAAGGAGGTAATTTTTGGGGTACCTCCCTACAGGCAATTGTGAAATAAGATGGTAGCATGCCTTAGAGAGCGTATCTCCAATTTCAGGGGCGACCCTAGATGGATCAAAGATCGTGCATATCTAGGGATATCTGTGATCTAGCGCCCGGCTCTACATTAAATACAGAAATATTACCGATTTTACGAGAAAATCGTGCTGTTGCTTGCTTACCTATGTTCAATGTTATTATGCTATGTATGTTAGAATAGGAAATGATTGCGGTGCCAACAAAGAATGCGGCCCAATATTGCTTTAGTTCTCCAGTAGGATATACAACTTGTATGAACAAGGCCAAGGCATGGCCTCAAAATTCGTTGCATCGTGTATTTGAATTGTAATATGGCCTAAGCGGGATTATCGTCTTGACATGCTTTTCTCTGCATGAAGCCTAAATACTAAGTGTGGTAACACGTCGGTTAGTCAACGGGGACAAGCAGTACCGAAAATAAGCGACGCTTAGTTGAATTTCCCCCAATTTTTCTCAATGGCTGGTGGTTAGAGCTTCCGCCTTCTGTACAGAAGGTTCAGGGTTAGAATCCCAGTTTTACTCAGTCTAGGGAGTAGCTAAGGATTCATTGGATCTATGTGATCTCCTCGGTCGAATTAGCCGAATGATAGGAAACTTGATTGAGGGTTAAATGAGGAGGGATGCCTGTGCCAAAAGATCAAGAATCTTAGGATACTCCTTCAGAACATCTACAATGTAGTGTACTGTTAAACAAGGGCGGTCGAACTATTCGATGACCCTGTAGAGGAATCTACGAACTTTACAAATTATACAAATTATTATTATATTCTTCACCAAGAGAGATTATCAATTTGAAAGTCATGTTAATAAATTTAAATCACAAATTCATTATATCATAAATTCAAATCATACATCCAATAACTTTAAGAAAATCAAGTTAACAGTCTGCAGTCTCTCGTCATACTTAAGATCCACTTTGCTGCTCCTCGGCTAGGACGTTCTCTGCACAGTCTCTTCGTGAGTTTCACATATGTTATGTCCTGCCCCGCCTTCAGACAGTCCAGAAATTTCCAGATAGTAAGGTTTGAAAAGGATAACATTGAGTGCAGTAGAGGCCGTGGAGCAATCCTTCAGCTATGTTGAACTCCGGGGAAGCAGCATCTTGGTGGACTCCATTTGTAGTGAGCGAAGGTAGGATTGATGAGATCTCGATCCATGTGGACTCGTAGCTAGTAACTGTAGAACTCCGCTATGTCTGTAGAAATAGAGTTTTCTGCACTGTATCCAGAAGTAGGGGCTTGTCTGGATTCTGGAAGGGTGTCTAGGAAGTTTCCAAGAGATGTCTTGAAGCTTGTCAAAGTCCTTTGAGTATTGACAATTTTGGGGAGAACATTCCAGAGTCTTCCAGCTCTTACTGCGAATGAGTGGTCGTAGGTGGAGCGTGCAGCAGCTGATGCTTGTTTGGTGAGAGAAGGGAGTATAACTTTAACTCCCAGTCTGGCATTCTCTCTGAACTGTACATCTAGGTCATTTGGACATATACCCTGGAGAACTTTCCACAGATGAATGATGGTGTAGCGTTCTCGGCGTCTTTGCAGTGATGTAAGTTTCAGTTCCTTCAGTCTATTCCATTTAATCGGTGTCTCTGAGCCCTAGAATCCGTCTGGTGAACTAGCGTTGTATGCTCTCGATAGACTGGACATCATAGATCTTGTTTTGATTCCAAAGCGGGCAGCAGTACTCCACTCTGGACCTTATCAGGGATTTGTAGAGCTGGAGCATAACAAGTGTTGTCCTGTCTTAGAATACTCCAAGAGTGTTGTCAGTGTTGAGTCTGTTAGTCCTTGCTCTAGTTTGAGGGCTTCAAGGAATTTCCAGATGGTAGGATTTGAACACTGGACGAGGCTGCGGAAACCATTATGTCATCCTTCTGGAAGGTTCAAAGAGCGTGGGAGACCAGCTAGACAGCAATCGTACTGGTTCCAGGACAGGTGATCGAAGCGAGCAGGTCTGTTTGGTGTTCCCATCCACGTGGACTCAAAGTATAATGTTAAGACATCCATATCTGCGGAGAGGATAGGTCTAAAGGTCTGCCCTGCGTAGTGAATGTCATCAGGAGGGATGAAAGGTAGAGCTCCGATCCGTTGGAAGGCTTTCCGGATGTCGGATCCAACCACCTGATACTCCGGAACAAGGTCGGAGCGAGCGAAGTTCCTCCATAGAGCCTGTTTGAAGTGGAAGTAGCAGCCACGTTGAGTAGTCCCGGGCCAGACAGCAGTGACACTGTTCCGTAGTCTAGCTTCATTATCACAAAGGGCGGTGTCTGGCTGGAAAGGTCCAAAGCGATCCAGTTCTTCTAGTAAGTTTGTGTAGTGTTCTTGCCGCTTTCCAGGGAGAAGACCAAACGCCAGAGGAAGTCTGTAATTGTCTGGGGTGATTCCATGTACTGTCAGGAGTTGGGTGAATAGATTGGGTGCCACCTTTTTTGTTTTGTGTTGCTGCGCTGAGAGGTACAGGTGTTGGTCGGCAGCTTTCTGCTTCAATTCTGCTCTGAACTCTGCTTTCTTAGCTAGAATTGTCTACTGCCGTAACGACAAATTTTGTCCTTCGCACGTGACTCCTGAGAAAAATAATTATTATTAATAGACAAACATGAATCATAACACATAGATAGACTTATTACAATTACAACCTGTAAATCTTCTAGTGGTGAAATAATTAATTTTCAAAAGTATTAACTACACACCATGTTGCAGACTCTCGTGTGACACACACTTCAGCTCGGGGGTTTTCGATATGAGCTATCACTCCTCATGCGTGAGGTGCGGCTAGAAGGAGTTTCTCCCAGGTATATTTTACATCAATGATGCAAACAATGACGTAACTCGACATAAAATCTGAAATGGTTTAGTTAAGCGACAACTAACATTACTACTAATATGAGTTTTAGATGCGTAGAGTGCAATAAAGTTGGGTTCTACTTCCACCTATATATTAATTTTCAGAGCAAAAATAATAAATCGGGTTTACTTCCGAAAATCCGCGCGTCTCGCCGCGCGCGTAAAATTTAATCAAATTTGATGAAGCTAGTAGGATTTCGTTGGTGAAACAAGATCGCGTCCGCAGTATCCAAAATACAGAAGATGTATCCAAGATGTTGGAGACAACATTTTATCGATGTTTTTGGCGGTATTTGTCCGTAAACTAAGTAGAATTTGCTCTGGTATGATAGGATGGCATGTGTACTGACATTTCCAGCTAGTTTTGAAATATTTATCGAATTCATGGAATGAATGAAATGAACAAAAAATGAACATTGTCTCAGAATGTCCTGGACTGAACTGAAACCGATTGCTATTGATACCAGGAGTGTCCCCGGGAAGTTTAGTGGGTCCAGCTTGTTCAGAAAGGGCTCTGGGCAATATTTCCATTTTGGTTTCTGAGCAGTAGTTAAGATTTTGGAAACATTTGACAGAAATTTAGAAACATGCTTTTTAGCGGTAATTATGCCTGAACTGGCATGAAATGGATCTGGTATGGTAGAGGGGCATGTGTACTAACATTTCCAGCTAGTTTTGAAATATTTATCGAATTCATGGAATGAATGAAATGAACAAAAAATGAACATTGTCTCAGAATGTCCTGGACTGAACTGAAACCGATTGCTATTGATACCAGGAGTGTCCCCGGGAAGTTTAGTGGGTCCAGCTTGTTCAGAAAGGGCTCTGGGCAATATTTCCATTTTGGTTTCTGAGCAGAAGTTAAGATTTTGGAAACATTTGACAGAAATTTAGAAACATGCTTTTTAGCGGTAATTATGCCTGAACTGGCATGAAATGGATCTGGTATGGTAGAGGGGCATGTGTACTAACATTTCCAGTCACTTAAAAGTGCGAAATATTCCCCTGGTTCATGGAATGAACAAAATGAACAAATAAATTAACATTATTCTAAATTCCCACGAATTGACCAACAGACTCTGATCGGTTTCAACTCAGTTTAGTCGATTTTAGGGTTAAGTTCATTTTTGTTCATTTCATGAACCAGAGGATCATTTGGCACTTCTGAGTGGCTGAACATGTTAGTAAAATCCTGAGCTACTTGCCAGTGATTTAGTCTTATGGGAACGTATTCAGGGTACTGGTAGAGCACAACAAGGCCGACCAAGACAAAGCTACTTGTCTATGTTACTGAAGGAAATTGGGACAAACTCTAAAGAGGATCTGCGAACCCTGATGCAGGACAGCTCAGGGATATAGAGGGGGTTATCTGGCATTATAAGGCGGTTCACAAAACCACTTTTCGTTCAAATAATTAGATATCACCTCTAATTAGTTGCTCTATTATAGGGTCAGGAACAACCAAAAAAATGTTTGTGTCTCTACGGTTTCGTATAATACTGACTTAGGCCACGCCCATATTTTTCACCAATTTTTAACGGGTAAAATTCTCTAAATCGTCAATTTAGTCACGAAGGATTATGGAAGGAGTTCTAAATGTGTGCTCCTCTAATATAAACAGTAGGAAATAGTTAACTTTAATCGAGGTCTCAGGTCTCTACAATGTCGGGAAGTTCCTGCAGGAATTTTCGCAGTGCGCTTGAAGCGCAAGATTCACAGCGCCAAAAGCAAAGGTCGTAGAGACCTTGACTAAAGTTAACCATTTCATACCATAGCTATAAGAGTATGCCACTTTCAGAGTCATGAAAACACTCCTACAGCTCTTAATCGTCAATTATATGAATTTTACTTGTTAAAATATATCATCTTTTACTGATATCAATTTAGATTAACACTGTTAGTTTTAAAAGAGAAAATGATACCTCACACCAAACTAACACACAATATGAGAATATATAATGGATAACAGATATGATAAGTGGTAAAATCCTACAAAAGAATGTTAGCTTACTAAGGAATTTTCCTCTTACCGAATCATACAAGAAGTTAACTAAGTTCCTCAATCCTCCTAGTCCTAAGCATTATCTTGTTTCAGAGGGAATAAGTGATTTAAAAAGATGAGGCCAAAGAGTTAGTAGTGAAGAAGGCATTTGTACTCTGTAATTTCTAAGCTAATTTTGTTCGATATTTATAGTTATTTACTGATCCTGTCTTGACGTATCAGCAAGAGATCACTGGACCTCGTTAGTTGTTAGTCATGTTATGCTGATTCAGTTAGTGACGAGCTATGAAGTAATCATTCGACCTCATTTAATACTGATCCTATCAATGACGAGCTATGAAGTAATCAGTGGATCTCGTCAATGCTCATCCTGTCCGGACTGTCAGTGACGAGTTATGAAGAAATAAATGAAGACCTCATTAATTCCCTTGTTCCAAGAAGATAATCCTCTGGTAACAATTCCTTCTGGCCTGCTTCTGAACATAATATGAAGATTCGAAAACCTAGTCTACCTAAATTGGAACTTGCTGACTGCATCGGAAAATGGAGAACAATCGAAAATGATAATCAGTGCCAGGATACAATCAAAGATGAATTTGGAATCCAAGGAAAACCTTCCTTTTTTATATTATCATATTGTGCGTTAGTTTGGTGTGAAGTATTATGTTATTTTTTAAAACTAACAGTGTTAAACTAAATTGATATCAGTTAAAGATGATATATTTTAACTGGTAAAATTCATATAATTGACGATTAAGAGCTGTAGGAGTGTGTTCATGACTCTGAAAGTGGCATACTCTTATAGCTATGGTATGAAATGGTTAACTTTAGTCAAGGTCTCATGTCTCTACGACCTTCGATTTTGGCGCAGTCAATCTTGCGCTTCAGCGCAATGCACAAATTCCTGCAGGAACTTCCCGACATTGTAGAGACCTGAAACCTCGACTAAAGTTAATCATTTCCTACTGTTTATATTAGAGGAGCACACATTTAGAACCCCTTCCATACTCATTCGTGACTAAATTGACGATTTAGAATTTAGATAATTTTACCTGTTAAAAATTGGTGAAAAATATAAGCGTGGCCCAAGTCAGTATTATACGAAACCGTAGAGACATAAACATTTTTTTGGTTTTTCCTGACCCTATAGAGCAACTAATTAGAGGTGATATCTAATTATTTGAACGAAAAGTGGTTTTGTGAACCGCCCTTTATTCTACAGCGAATCATGAACATTTAACATGTACATAAGAACTTAGAATTGTATGAAGTATGAGTTTATATGAGTAATTTATTATGAAATGACCTTTTACTATGCAATTTCGACTAAATTCATGTAGATATCCAATCCAGTTCCATGCACAACTGTTGTTTACATTTGGTCTAGTTAGACAAAATTTGTTTCAGAGTGACTCGATAATCGCAATATCAAATTAAGATATTATTTAAATGGTCCATGTCATGCAATGCGGAAATATCCCCATAAATTGGCAACTGCCAAAGTGACACTAAAGTTATTGCTAATTCTTTTACAAAACTTAGCAAGTGCTATTAACAATATCCTAATGGATCATGGAAATTGAAATGTTCAATTTTCTTTTCATAAATAATAATTATAATGCGAAGTTTTATTTACCCCAAGTTTGGAGAGTAAGTAGATTAAACTGGGAATGCCCCTTCCCAGCTTTGAGCCCTTGAGTAGTCAGAGTCAGAGATATCCTCATCTCTAAGGCTCAGGGACCACATCACCCCTAATAAACCATTAAATATCATGGGAGACCATGCACAGCTTCGAATTATACTGTAATGACTTCGAATAAACCTTTTTTGTCTCTTAAAAAGGCTCAGAATACTAGATTAATTTACCTCATTTTACCTCATCCCAATTTTGCCTTTTTGGCTGCCCGAATGAGGTAAAATGAGGTTCCCCCCCCCCCCCCCCCCATTTCATTACTCTTAAGTCTGATGACATGAGGACTAACAAGCATATTATATTCAAACTTGAGGAATTTAAATTCAGGTGACCGACAAAAACTAACCGGAACCAGACAAAGGGTAAAATTTAAATCTATCTATATTCATAATTGGAGAAGGATTTAAGTTATATATCCAAGCAAAGAAATGGTCAAAACATATTGGGCTTAAAAGGTTTGCACGGTAGATTGCCAAACTCTCTTGCGAGTGGGAACAAACTTGACGTTGCAACTTGCATAATGCACATAGCCAGATGGATTGCCCAAAATACACATCGGACTGATTAGTTATCTAGGGGGGGGGGGGGGGGGGGGGAGGGGGGTCCAACTACATTTTTGTACACTAATTTAGCGTACATTTGGCAAAAATCTGATGGCCATGTACATTAATGGTCTTAAAAAATGTACAAAAAATCGGAAATCCCTGGAAACGCGGGAAACGGAACAGGAAAAGACATATTTTGTACATTTTTGTACATGTACATTTGGCAAAAATCTGGTGGCCATTAAACATGCATCTCAGGCACATTTTGGTTCAATTCTAAGTTTTGTATCTGAACCAGAAGCTGACATCTGGAAATCAACAGAAAGTGACTTACTCATTTATCAAAATGGAAGTTTAGAATATTGTTCAAGGGAGTGGGTGCCTTTTTGTTGACATAATTTGGTTGAACTGTGTGTCATTATCCACCTTAAAATGACTTCTTGTTTTAGGCATGTACCAATGATAAACCACATGAAATTGGTGCTTTGTAAGCAATGTCAATGTTATGATAACCTACTATGACTAACTTAAATCCGGTTCAATACTTCAAATATCGATGGTATGTACAAAATTTTCTCGATGAACATATAAATGCTATTGTCGGTATTTTTGTCCATCGTGACAACAATCAGAAAAAAGTTCGCAGATCATTCTTTCAACTATGACTTTTAGCTGAATTATCTAGAGTTTAGATGAAGATTACCTAATTCATCTTAATTCTACCAAACTTTTGCCAAATCATTGACTTTTGCTCATTTTGGGCATATTCTGAGACATTTTCTGCACTTAGAACAGGATCAGGTTAGTCACACAATTCAGCTTTTTCAATATTACAGTCCTAGATGTTAAAGCTGGCCTTGGCACAGTGTTATGACATAAACTAACTAGAGGATTTTCCTAACATGAGCAGTTAAGATTGAAGGCATTGCTGTGCTACACTTTCTAGTTACTAGTCATTTCACGTTCACTATCTAAGTGCCATGGAATTCAAATTCATTGCAGTGCCCTTAACAAATAATAAGGGTCCTGATTCACATTACGATCATTGTTTTAACTTGAATTTCTTGTTTAATTGAGAAATTGTCCAAAAGTGAAGCATGGTTATTAAACATCTACAAACCCTCATGACATATTTAGCACAGTTATTTATTTACCTGAAAAGGTCTTCTTCATTCATTTCGGTCTCTTCATTTGTTTCGTTCCAGGCTGAAATTTGGTATTATTTTGTAAATATAAGTTGCTTATGTATAAGTTGCTTTTACAAAGCAACTTTTTATGATTATTAATGAAATTATCGGATATTTATAATTCAACATGTATTGATTCTTCTGTGGAAAATAAAAATTGTATTTTACTCAAATTGTAAAATTGTACTTTACCTATGGGCTTATCTATATTTCTACCAGTCAAGATCATGTGAAAACCTTGTATAAATGTTTAAGATCCAATAAAAAGTCCAATAAAGAAATACTTAACAAACCTTCATATGACCATCTTTGATTTAGAACATAGAAGATTCTTAGAATGATCTCGGAGAGCTTTTTTAGCAAATTCTGGATCCATAAACATGTCAGCTTCTAGGGGTGATGATTAGATCAAAATATATAATTCAGAATTATAGTGAATAAATCAAATCATTTGGATTCTGTCTCAACAAGCAAGAATTCAATGACGCCCTAGCCCTTAGGTACAACTTTGGAATAAAAGATGCTGCAAGAAAATGTGTATGTGGAAGTGACAACTCAATAAACCACTCACTAATGTGCAAAAGGGGTGGATATGTATCTCTTCGCCACAATTCATTGAGAGATGTGTTAGCAGAGCTCTCAGAAACTGCTGGCTGTAAAGATGTTACTACTGAACCTCTCCTTATTCCTGTCAATGGGAGAGAACTTCCTGCAGGGGCCAACAAAGCAGATGGAGCTAAGTTAGATGTTATTGTTAGGAGTGTATGAAACCCATTGGAAAGGGCATTTTTAGATATAAGAGTATTTCATGCTCAAGCTCCTTCCAATAAAGCTCTTGGATTTCTGATGAGTATGTACACTAGCCATGAGAGACAGAAGAAAAACATGGACAACAAAAATATTGTTGAAGTAGAATATGGAACATTTACACCAATAGTCCTTTAAATCAAGAACAGGTGGAATGGGAAGAGAAGCAAATACTTTTTTCAAAAAGGTTAGCTGATAGAATGTCTAGAAAATCAGGCCAAAGATACAGTGAGGCAATGGTACTTTTCAGGAAAATAATAAGATTTGACTTGTTGAGGACAACAATTATTGCTCTTAAAGGAGAAAGAAGGTTAAAAAGTTGTTTGGAAATTTTGAATTATAGGAAATAATTCAGATTAGATTGAAAATGGCATATATATATTTCAAGTAAGAGATTAAATTTAATTAGAGACGAATACATATCATAAATTTGCTCTGTGATAATGAACTCCTACTTTCAGCAACAATAACAGAACAAGATGGTCCAGGAAATGAGTATTGAAAACAAGAATAGAAAAGCACTAATTTGTTTTTCGTCCTGTGTTATGTGTACTGTATTTACTGATAGGTTGCATTTATTTAATTATAAGATCATCATTTATTTAATTATAAGATCATTGATTAGTTGAGCGATAGTAAATCGGCAAAATGTTAGGCAGATATCTCAACTATATTGTGTGAACAGCAGGGAACGAGACATCAAGTCATAAACAACAGAACACAGCGGCTACTAACATTTTTTCTACAAGCATACAAGAAGATTATATAGCGCTCGATCTCACATCTAATCTGTCTGCAGCCATACGTATATATGGCGTCACCGCGAAAAATGTACTGTTAGTTATTCCATCTTGATCACCTTCAAAACTTGTTCGAAACTACTTTCTCACCACTCACTGAACAAATGTCTATAGGTTTATTATTATTATATTGACAAGTACTTCACCAATTTTTACCAAAAATATTCCTTAATCGACAACATGATACCATTAAATGCGCGCGCGCAATAATAAACATAATTATTTTATTACAACCAGTACAAAGCAAGTGCGGATTAATTTAAAGTATTAAAATGCTTAATACAAAGATTTCCTTTGTTGTTTGTACTTACCTGTTTAAATTTCCCAAAAGTAAAACCTCAAAAGTGGAAAGGAAAATTTAAAATGAACATTTGCATTTTGGTTCAATAACCGTTTAAAAGTTAAAAAAATATAAACAACTAAACCAAGTAGCTTTAATTTACTTTTTAGAACATTTTAAATTATTATGTGGTATGGTCATTACATTACCCAATTTAGTGGTAATTTAGTAGTCAAGATTTAGTAAGACTTTTAGTATAAGTTTCTTTTGACGACTTTGAGCAGAAAATCCTGTATAATGTATAATGTATAAACATATTTTATGTTTTAGACGCCAAACTGAAAACGCGAACGATTATCATCAGTTTAAAAAAATTGAAATAAACTCTTCGGTATTCAGAATTTGAATATTATCAAATATTACCCGGTAGTCATAATGATCTTTTTAAATAAAACGTTTTAAATTGTATTTGAAACTTAACATGAATTGTGTGTTGTGATAAAATTTGGACCTTAAAAGTTGACAGTTTTGAGTTTTTTAATTCGAATATTTTGTTCATTAGTTGCTATTTATAATTTATCATACAAGATCGAAGATGAATCAATTCATGACTTGAAAGTTTGACGCGCGTTTATTTCTACACTATAGTGTGTAATGTTGTGCAGCGCGCGGCCGAAATTGTGACAAACCGGAAGAATTAACTTGTTATCAAAACGTATCGCGCGAAAATGTTTTTGTAGACGCGCATGTGACATTACGAGTGCAGAGCTCGCACTGGGTTCTTAATTGTTAGTTGGTTCTGAGATTCTGTATCCTGGCACCTTCCTAACAGTTCTTCTGATAAACTTTTCTTATCCACAGAGTTGCCAAACTGTAATAGTGGCTGTCTGAATTTGGTGCTGTTACAGTGTTATGTTTTATCTTTATAAATATATATATCTACTATAATTATATAGTTTCATAATATTTAATATAAGACATTTAAAAACTAAGCTTTTAATATTGTCGTTATGACTGGGCGGGAAGTTACGTAAATCATGATTTTTGCTCTGAAAAATTAAATATAATTATAAAGTATTGTAAACCGTATTTTATAGGTATACAGATAAATGTATTCTGGGTAAAAATTATCTTTATCCCGGTTGTTGCGACAAGTAAAAATGCTCTTATTAGGGAAAGGAGATTACTCGACGTTTCAATGTAACTACATCGTATTCATGATCTAAAAACAAGTGTTAAAAATTCAAAACGTAAAAAACATATATCTGAGGCAAAATTTGTGTACATTAATTTATTCAATCAACTTTATCCAAAAATTCGATACAAAAAAGTCATAACAAAATTCATAACAAAACTAATTTATACGACGACAAACTTTTATAGTAAATACTGTACATTCCTAAAACTGCTACTAAATATACTACACATGATACAGAAGCATTGAGTGCTACAACGGTGAACAGGTGCATGATGTGAAGTGTGTAGGTATGTATCTAGTGTGGAGTGAAAATGGCGGGAATCGTACTGACCAATGAGAAGTGTGAAACGTGGGAGCCTAATATGGTTTGATTGATGTTATAAGGGTTAGTGTGTTGAATAGGAGGCGGAAGTGTGCGTGTGTGAGATGTGGTACCTGTACTCAGAAAGTAAACAAAACCTATAAATATCACTAAATATCACTACATATGTGTAGACAATCCCCTGTCTGTAAAATATAAAATATGTTACACCCTGTTTATTATGTACTTGTTACTAAAAAACGTTTGATAGTTTCTAACTCATCTCTCTTGTTAATGTTAGGTTTGAACTTCAAAATAAGCATTGCTTCTGCAATCTTTCTTCTAGCTGTGTTGCTTTCTGTTTTTAAAATCTCAAATTCTAAATTGGGTTCTGACCCCCTATGTAAACTGTTATAATGAATAGCAAACTTGTCGCAACAACCGGGATAAAGATAATTTTTTTACCCAGAATACATTACAACAATGCGACTCATAAACAATACTCCAATCCGGATTTTACATATACAGATAAATATTATTTTATTTAAACAATTGCATTAAAAGTTGATAAATAAACCATTTTGTCTGTAAGGTGGACTGCGTTAACACCCTATCCAGTATTCGCTAGACTCTGAAATAGTATGTAATAGTTAGTAGTAGAACACGAGTGCAAAAATAACACGAGTCTGTACCGAACGGCAGTGTTAGTAAAACAGTTAAATAGTATAATTTAGAACATTAGAAAATCGGATGTTATTAAACATTGCGTGAACTAAACATACTATAATAATTTAGTCTCCAGCGTCTAATTTAGTCCTAATCCATGGACTGAACCAAACCAGAAGTAATGCTAACACTGCAACTAGTAGTGTATACATTGCCCAGAAGTAATGCTAACACTGCAACAAGTAGTGTATACATTACCCAGAAGTAATGCTAACACTGCAACAAGTAGTGTATACATTACCCAGAAGTAATGCTAACACTGCAACAAGTAGTGTATACATTACCCAGAAGTAATGCTAACACTGCAACAAGTAGTGTATACATTACCCAGAAGTAATGCTAACACTGCAACAAGTAGTGTATACATTACCCAGAAGTAATGCTAACACTGCAACAAGTAGTGTATACATTACCCAGAAGTAGTGCTAACACTGCAACAAGTAGTGTATACATTACCCAGAAGTAGTGCTAACACTGCAACAAGTAGTGTATACATTACCCAGAAGTAATGCTAACACTGCAACAAGTAGTGTATACATTACCCAGAAGTAATGCTAACACTGCAACAAGTAGTGTATACATTACCCAGAAGTAGTGCTAACACTGCAACAAGTAGTGAATACATTACTCAGAAGTAATGCTAACACTGCAACAAGTAGTGTATACATTACCCAGAAGTAATGCTAACACTGCAACAAGTAGTGTATACATTACCCAGAAGTAGTGCTAACACTGCAACAAGTAGTGTATACATTACCCAGAAGTAATGCTAACACTGCAACAAGTAGTGTATACATTACCCAGAAGTAATGCTAACACTGCAACAAGTAGTGTATACATTACCCCAGAAGTAGTGCTAACACTGCAACAAGTAGTGAATACATTACTCAGAAGTAATGCTAACACTGCAACAAGTTGTGTATACATTACCCAGAAGTAAATTGCAAAAACACTGCAAAAAGGGTTAGGGGAATACATTACCCAGAAGAATTTTGTTTAACACTGCAAAAAAAGTAGTTTTATACATTACCCGGGAAAGTAATGCTAAAACGGGGCAAAAATTGTGATACATTCCCCAACAAAATAATGTTTAACCCACTGCAAAAAAGGAAGTGTATACTTTACCCGAAGAAATGCAACACTGCAACAAGTAGTTTTTAACTTTACCCAGAAGGAATCCCAAACACTGCAACAAGTGTGAATCTTTACCCAAAAAGTAATCTAAAAATGCAAAAAGTATTTTTTCCCTTTTCCCCCAAAAGTAAGGC